CTCCCACCCACCCCCAAAAAAAGGTACGAGCTGCTGCTTCCGAAGCGCACCTCTTTGCGCCACCGCGTGCCCCAGGGCGACGCGCCCTTCCTGGACTTCCTGGCCTACCTGCTCACGCCAGACCCCGGGCAGCGCCCCTCCGCCGAGGAGGCCCTGGCGCACCCCTGGCTGCAGTACCCCTACCCGCCCATAGAGCCAATGCAGGACTGAGCCGGCGGCCGGCCTGGGCGCGGGCGCGGGGGCGGTGCTGCCCTGCGCGCGTCGGGGTTCGCCCTCGCAGTCTGGGGCCGGCTGGCAGGGTGTGTGCGGGCGCCGAGGCTTGGCAGCCTCAGCTGGCCCTGCCTCCGGCGCGCTGGGCTGGCCGGCCGGGCTGTGCCTCGAGGCAGCTTCTCTCTTCCGCACGCTGTCGAGTCTTGTTTCTTTCTTGAAGAGTCCCGACCGGACGACAAAATGCACAGGTGGTTACCGTGATCCCCCTCGAGTCGTCCCATTGCCTCCTGCACCCTCTTGCGCCCCACGTTGTCCTCCGTGGTACCAGCTGCTCTCGTTTTCGCGCGCGCGCTCTTCCTTCCACCCTCTGTGCTATGCTATATCTGGCCTCATCACTGCTAGCAGCTGCCGTACCCTCGACGGGCCGCAGCAAGACGCATACGCACGGGCAGCATGAGCACACGGCTGCCACGGCCACTGCGATCCATCCCCTGCTGCCTGGCCCTCGCGTATCGGGGCACGTGCGCGACCCTGCTGCCTGCCCTCTGCTTTTGCACCGCGCCTTGGCCGGGGCAGCCGCGCCGGCGCTCCTTCCTTCCGGCTCCCTCTGTAGCCCCGCCATGCCATCCAGCAGCAGCGCGCTGGCTGGGTGTGCTCGGCACTAGCCTGCTGGACAATCACTCCGCTGTGCGCATGACCCAGAAATCCACGCGTCCCACTTATCGCCACCAAAAGCCCCTGTCAGAAAGAGTGCAGTTTACAGTTTACAGGCAGGGGGAGGGAACACAGGGGTATTTGCTGGGCGTTGCGCCCAATGGGGGAGCGCCAGCGACAACGGTAAGTAGCGCACGGGGGTAGTTCAGCGTGGGCACTAGGCCACATGAAGCAGAGCCGGCCGCAAATGCGCAGATCGGCTGCCAACATGTGCTAAGAGGCCACACACAGGGGTCGTGCACGGGCGATGGCAGCTTCCAAGGGTGCCACGTCATTCGCAGGAGCGGCCTCAGCAGCTCAACGGGTGCGGGGACCGCGCGACATGTGCAAAACACACCCCTGCAGGGGTGGTGTGCAGCGACCACCAATGGGTCCAACGCTCGCCATCCACGTGAGCAGTCCCAAGCGCCCGCGCAGCGGGGGAGCGTGGGGCCCTCCCAAGGGCTGTTGGCTGTGCACAGAGGCCGGAGTGGGGGCTAGGAGGGAGCCTGGCTGAGGGGTGCGTGTGTTCGTGTGCGTGTGCGCAGGGTCGGCAGCCGCAAGCGCAGCAAGTAATAAGGAATGGCGCGCAACAACAGACAGCAAAACTGGGAGCGGTGGCTAGTGCAGAAGGCAATGCCTTTGCCCAAACCAAACAGCAACAGCTGGGCCCCATGCTGCATCTCGGCCATCGCAGGGCTGCCGTGCTGCACTAGAGGAAAGAAAACGCAGCGCGCTTGCAAGCAAGGGGGCACGCATGCTCGCTACGGGCCTGGCGTATGCCCTGCTCTGTTGATGGCGAATGTGGAGGAGGAGCGGCGGGCGAAACCGGCCGGGGCCGATGCTCGCTCCCTGGCTTCGCCAATCACGCAACAGCGGCGGCCGCACAGCCCAGGCATGCGGTTTTGACCTGCATGCGTGCTAGCTGACCATACGTGCAGCAGCCCCGCAGCCGCGATTGCGCGCAGCACGGCATCTCCCATGCCCAGTTAATCCGTGCTCAAAACGTAAGGGTCGGCGCATGCGTGGGTGTGCACAGCGGGAGCCACAAAGCAAGCTTGGCCTCTGTCCTCAAAATGGCGGCCTCACGGCGCAACAGACCGGCCGGCGCTCTCGGCGAATGTACAGCCACGTACTCAAAAGGACTCGCGGCGCACTGCTTGCGGCGGCGTGCGCCGCGGCGCCGGGTCAAGAAACAGCAAGGCGCGGGCAGACAAGCACGCAAGGAGGCAGGCGACGCGTGCCCGCGGCGCCTGCCGCCCGAACGTCTGGAAGGCGCAACGTTTGCCGCGCGCTGTGTCAACAGGTGTGCGGCTCAAAAACAGGGGCATGACTCGCAGACGAGCGATTGGTTTCAAGCTAAGCAGGCTGCGGCGCCAGGGCGCGACCGCTGCGGCCGGCCCCTGACGCCAGAGCCGCGCTGTCTTCAGAAGCATCGCTGTAGTGGCCGGCGCGGCGCAGCTGCCCTTGAGCGCTATCGCGCGGCCGACCTGGCCTTGGGAAGTCAGCCAGCAGCAGGCCAAAGTGTGCGCTAACGTCGCCCTGCCGATGGGCGCCACAGCACATCGACCCGCGGACGTATCACTGCGGAGAGCGGAGCGCGCCAGCTCGACACGCCCGGGCGGGCGAGGGCGCGGGCGGCACGGCAGGGGCAGATCGCTCGGCCACGCGGCTGCTGCGCGGTGCTTTGTTGTGGTGACGTCGTGACCAGGTTGGTTGATTCGACTCCCCTTCTCCCCTCTAGGTTGCAATATTTCCTGCTAATGGAGCCGAAGTGGTGCAGCAAAACCCATGTTCTTCGGAACTGGTGACGCGGCGGCCTGGGCCGCAGCAAACACACAGAAGCGGGCGTCGCGGCGCAGCCCCACGCCGCGCCCCGTCGCCCTCCCTGCCGCGTGCACGCCGGCGGCAGGGGCGGCCCCGCGCCCGCGCCAGCCTCAGAGGAACCCGGTTTTGCGCAGGATCGCGTTGCGGGTGCGCAGCTTCTCGCGTTTGAGGCAGGCCGAGGGCGAGCCGCCCTCCGCGGTGAGGCAGAAATCGTTGACTCCCGTCATGCAGTGCGGCGGGACAAACCCGCTGCTGCACGGCCGCGTGGGCGCCGCAGCCATCGGCGCGGCGCCGGCGGCGCGCGGGAAGGCGATGCAGACGGGTGCGGTGTTGTAGGTCGCAGGGCCGGGCGTCGGGGCGGCGGCGGGCTGGGGCCAGCGCGAGAGGCCGGGGATCGCGATGGGCACGGAGGACGCCTGGCGTGGCGTGCGGGCGCGCGGCGTGTTTGTGTTGGAGAGGGCGCGTCTAGGCGAAAAGCGCACCACTGCTGCGGAGTCCCCGCGGAGAAGCTTCCGGCGGCGACTTACGAGGCCAGCCCAAAAACCCCGACCGGCCTGCTGTCTGAGGCTCTACCCCTGGAACAGCAAGCAAGGGTCCTCTCACCATTGACAGCGCGGTTGAGGACGAACGCAGGGGCATGCTGCAGGACAGCGACGGCGCACCCTGGCCATCCCACGCTGCACCCGGTCCACCGGCGCCCCCGCCGCCGGCTGCGGTGTCCCGCAGCTCGTCAAAGCTGGCGCCGCTGGCCGTCAGCTCGCTTATCAGAGTGGCGAAGGACGAGCCTGCGCAGAAGAGGCCCGGAACATGTCGGGTGATGTGGCATATGCGCGCGTGGCCGGCCGCCGGCCTTGGCAACATGCTGCGACGTCGCTGCCGCAACCGTTGCCCAGGGCAAGCCATGAGCAGGGCCAGCTGACCAGCACACGATCTTATGCACCAGGTGCAGTGCATGGCTCACCAGCCGCATCCAGCGTTGGGCCAGGTTGTGATGAAGTCCCGGCCTCGTCCGTGTCGGAGCTGTCAAAGGCGTAGAGGTCCTCCTCGCTGATGTCATCGTCATTGACGACCTCTACATCCTGTTTAAGCTCCACGGTGGGCTGCATAGGGACGCCCCACATGCTGATGAGAGCTTGTTGTTCAGCTGAACAAGGCAACTGCGGCCCGGTCCAAGTGTTTGATAAGCTTGGCTTTGCTGATACCCTACTAAATCGGTGAGCAGGTGGGCTTCGCTGTGACACTAGCGCACCGCAAAGATTGTGGGTCGCTTTATGCGTTGCAGGGAGTCGGCAGCGTGTCAGCGGGCTCAATCGTTGATGTCTCCTGTCTCAAAAGTGAGAACTTGTGCTCGATCGGGTGGGCTGCGTGGCAGCGGGAACGGCAAGGCCGCAGTCTAGTCATGTGTTATGTGTTCCGTGCAATACAAACATAAAACCGCATGTTGGTCGTTATAATTGCCGTCAAAAGGACCCAATGAGGACGGATGGCTGTGCATGTGGGATGCGTCCGGGGCGGTGGACCGGAGCCACCTGGAGGCCTGCGGCACAGATTTGCAGGGGCAGGGCCCCCATTCCCTCCCAAGCATGACAATCACGCCGCATGCAAAAACTGTTACACACGGGCGCGTCATGACGGCAGTCAAGGCTCGGTCAGGTGATGACGCCGAGGAAATCCTCGTTGATGGTCCCGATGCAGAACTGCGTTTGTTGTGGGGTGGGGAGGGGGAAGAGGGGCCGATCGAGGAGCCGGCCTGGTCGAGTGAGCACGCTACAGGCGGAGTGCAAGCAGGCAGGGTACAGCTGCTGCTGCCCCTGCAACCGCTTGGATGGCTTGTGCTCTTGCGGGTGCCTTTAACGCCAGGCTTCCTCCGCACGCCGGCCGACCCTGTTTCTTGAGTCCTGTTTTCATCCACATCGCGTCCTTTCTCCTCCCCCACCGCCAAGCCCACCCCCCTCCCGCCCCGATTCATATCAAAGTCAGGCCGGCGGAGCAGGGCGTGGCCCTCCTGATCCCGGCCCGCTCACCAGCTCCGCAGCGTCGATGCGCACGCCCACGATGCGCACGCGCACCTCCGCCCGCTCCTCTATGCGC